AAAAAATTAGAGGAATTTCTCAGTATAAATTACTGGCAGCAAATATATATATATCACTGAATTAAAACTATTAGAATTTCTTTAATATGAGAAAATTCATACTTTAGTCACTAAAGACTGTTTTATCATTTCTGACAGCTGCCAGTGGGCGTATGTTACCTTACCTGGCAAGCTATCTTTACCAAAGTGATGGTTCCAAAATTTTGAATTAAAAACCTTTTTTAGCCGAACTTTACAAGATGGAGACTGGACTTAACACGTTTTAATTCAAATTTCTTTGAATTTTCACCAGTTTTCAATTTAAAAAAAAAATTAGTACCATATGTATGTGAGCCACTGTATTAATCATTTTATCATTGTACCTTTCATCAATATTACATTTCATTAACATCTGTGACTTACAATGAAATTTATTAATTGATTAAATTTAATTTGTAGAATACAAGCATAATGTATGTACATAAATTCCTTTTATAACTTACTTATTAAATACGTTTAATTAAGGAAATCTACGGTGGCTTTCATACGACATATTTCAATTATCATTTTGAATTGAAAACTTTAATTTTCACCTGTGTGAAAATAAATGTATAAGCAAAAACTTTAATTTTCAACTCACATAGGTGAAATTAAGGTGGTAATTCGTGTAATTTATGAATAAAAACATTAATTTTAACCTAGGTGATAATTTAACAAATTGTTCATTAAAAACTTTTCAAGTCCATATGACCAGCTTCCATCTTGTAAAAAACGGCTAAAAAAAGTTTTTAATTCAAAATTCTTGAATTATCACCATGGTGAAAATTATTTAATTCAAAATCAATCCTTACCACCCAGAAGGAAGGTCAACCTCTGCTCATCTTCACAAACAAATATTTTGTTTGTAGTTTGGAAATTTTGCGTATAAGCAGCGAAATTCCAGCCTACTCTTTTTCAAATTCCACGATAGGAATTCAAATCAGAACAAGTATAATTTATTATGTGACTTAATATTTAAAGATGGGTTCCCTTATTTTCATTTATGAAAATGAAAATGCTAATACTTATATGAATAGAAAGTAGAGGTGTTCTATGACTTGGAAAAATATCAGTTTTTCTCACATGTCCATAATTAATTCATAATAAGATAAATTAGAAGAGAATTACCACCAGAATTCCAATGAGTGACCCGATCGAGAAAGGTCAAAAGTCTTTTTTTTTTTATCCAGACTGTACATATATGGACATTTATGATTGATTAAAACTCTTTATTATATGCAATAAGAACATAATGATATGATTAAGAATACATGATAATTCATTAGAAACACCAATTCATCAAAAAGTTTGCTTAATTTGATACTAAAAAATGAGGAAACCCATCTTTAAAAAGAAAGAGACAAAAGAGATAAAGGGAAAGGGGCGAATTTGGGAAGAGGGGATATCTTTAAAATCCCCTTTTCGCCTCTTCTCTGTTTCACCCCTTTCCCATATAGCTCCTTGCTATTTTGACCATTCTGACTGAGCAAATATCCAGGTTCGTATTTTAATCAGATTGCAGAAACTACCACAAAATCTTCTATGTATAGTCATACTCATAGTATAAGAGAAGCTGTGAGTGGCGGAATCATGTCTTAAGGGTTAAAGGGATTGTAAAGATGTTTTCTAAATTTTGTATGTGTATCGGGGACAATGATACCGATAGCATGAATGTTTCAAACACTTAGTTTTAGTAGAATTGCAGGAACCACAGACGCCTGCTTGAAAATTGGAATAGTGCAAGTATACAAGTATAAAAAATTTAGAAATCCCCTTTACAATCCCTGAAGTGTAAATCTAGAATACATTAAAATCATCACCACAATATTACTAAATTTACCCAATGGTTACAGTAGTTTCATGTTCACGATGGTCAAGTTATCGTTAACTTATATATCTTATACCTTGACTACAATAGCCACTGTTACTGTATCACATGCGGCTGTACATCAGCGAATACAGCCAATCAGAACCTTCGACAGAAAAACTGTAAACATTATAGCTTACTATTTACAGACGTTCTGTGGCTCTTATAAAGTTTTACAAACCTCAGTGGTTACTAGAAATGTGACTATTTTAGTCAAGGTATAAGACGAAATTTAATACTTTGACCATTGTCAAGATGCAGTGGTGAAAAGCATCACTTCTGAGTCTCAAATGCTGTAGATGGAAAATGCCCAAGATACTTTTTGCGTGAATGGCAAAACCAACTTACACCAAAATTATTGATCTCAGTTTAGTTTTTTTATTGGTGTATATTATATTTTCAACAAATACTCGACCTCAGTCAATATCCTATATAAAATACTAGATAACATCATTTATATCTCAGATGTCCTTAATCCGACCTGATAGATAATGCAATTTTTATGATGTTTATCAGTAGACCCTTGATCCGATATATTTTGTAAAAAGTCATTGGTTAGTAGTTGAAAGTGACTGGCTAATCAGATTTGTTCAGCTTTGTTCAGTTTCTGTCTGGACTAGCACAATATCAGATGAATACAGCGGCTCAAATGGATTTCCTTAATAACATATCATATGAACGTGTATCAGCATCAGCAGATGACGGTTCTGTTTCATCATCTGGTACTAAGCCAGTGATAGTTTTCACAGCTCACCGTCGAACCCATGTCCAGAATCATCCGCGTTTGTTAAAGTTAAAGAGTCGTCTTTTTTTGAGACACTGTCATATATTATAGAAAAGACATCTATAGAAAAAGAAAAAGAAATTCCAAGTTTGAGATATTTTAGAAGGAATAATGCGATACATAATAAGTTTTTTTTTGTAATTTTTGTGGGTTATCTCTAATTATTGAAAACATTATCAACAACGAGTTTGGAAGGAATAAGTTTCTAAAAGATGGGCGCCAAAACTCTTGACAGACTTCTAAGAATCGTTGTAGATTTGAATCAGAACCAGATGATTTATTGGCCCGATTTGTAACCATGGATGAAACCTGTTTCCCTAAATGAAAAAGGAGCCGGTGGCCATTATCCTAGTAGCTATGATGTCATTTCTGCTATTAACAACTTTTTTTTAGGGTGACCAAAAATAATTTCTTCTTGACTGACACCTATCACTGTCAAAAGTGTGTTAATCTGGAAGGATGTATAAATTGTAGTGTGTCTTATGCAGAAATAGCAAATCTTTTTACAAATTTTACTAATTTAGACGACAAATGTTGAATTAAGCGTGCAAATTAAGAGATAAGAATTTAGAATTAAGAATTAAGAATTAGCAATGTAGAACATTAAAAAAAGCCATTCCGCTTTCTATATCGATGCACAGTCAGCCAAGTAGCTTGGCTGTAGCATGTTTTATAGTCTGGATTTCAACAATCTACAAGACCAAAGGAATATTTATATATACGTAAGTAAATTTAGAACACAGTCACATACTACATCAATGTTTTACGATGTAAATTTTAAATATTGTAGTAATAAAAGACTAATAAACAACCAAATTTAAAACCAAACTGAAATTCTTGTTTTTTTTCAGGATTTTCATTGTTCAAAATAGTATTAATGCCTTCAGTCTATTTATTGATATATGTGAAACTCTTTGCTTTTAGGTTCTGTTTTAATATTTCTATATCGCTCTACAGTTGATGTATTGTTCACTATTTTAACAGTGAACATATACCTAGAACAAAAAGTTAAGCGTCACCAGATTTTGATTTCGAAATTGAATGCAATTCACAATCATACTTAATAACAGAGATATATATATTGGGAACTAATGTTGAAAACAATATGTATTCGTGAAAAAATCAAAAACAGGAAGAGGATGAACGTACATTATATTGTCTTTATAGCCCCAAAGCAAAGTATCTGTATTTTTTATACCATAACTAATGCTAGAAGTGACTCAGCAGGCAGTATTAGAGAAGGAAACCACATTGCAAGGAAACTTTACATTCTCACGAAGAGTTTAAAGCAGTGTTTATTCAAAAGCCCTACCTGGCATGCTACGTATCAGTCTTTGAATGTCATGTTGAGGAATTTGCTGCCTCTCTTGATGCAATGCAGTTTGTACAGGAGGGTCTCTACACTATAGAGAGGTCTATATTGAAATCGTCAAAATTTCTCGCTCAATCTATTCACAAATTTTGTCAGTTGATATTTGATATTATTATCCGCGGATGTTGTATTTATCGATTTTTCGAGCACAGAATTAAACTTCGAAGAAATTGTCATAATAACTGTATTATTTTAATTAATGTTTCCTATCACCAAAAACGGATCAAATTCAATAGCCCTTGTAGACTCGGCCACTTACAAAGATTTCGTCGAAGCTTTACGCAGACAAAGAGGGATTGTGTGATTGAGGCTATTCATGTCCAATAACACATTTTTTTCGGTGACCATAATGGTTTATAAATATATATATCAAATTCATTATAGAAAACGACAATGTAGTTTGTGTACTCAGATAGTAATAATATATAGTGCTAATTCAGCAGCGTTATTAGTTTACTTTACACAGAAAATATTGACAGTTATAGACAATGCTACTGTTGCCAGCTACCTTGACAGTTATAGACAATGTTACTGTTACCAGAGACCAACTATAGATTACTAGATAACTTACTGTAATAAGAGAACTCGACCATGTTACTGTTAGTAGACATTAATAGACGGTATTGGTATTTGTAGACGATGTTACCGTTACAAGTGAAATTAATGAACATAGACAACGCTTCTTATAACAATAATGCTGATGACGTTGTTCCTAGAGAAAGAGACTTTAATGCACATCAACAAAGTGCAGGTACAAACCACAATTGTTGAAAAAAAAAAGGAAATCAATTATAACTACGTTACTGTTTTCAGCTGCATACAATATACAAACCTGATCAAAATGAAGCCTTCTACTTTCCAGCTTAACAAACACACTAGCTGATACAGCTTTCAATTTCAAAACAGAACTGGTATAAAAGACACAATCCGTTAAGCTATAGGGCACAAATAAAACATATCGAACAAGATGATCCCCTTGTTCTTACTTGCATTGGTGGTCACATCATTTTGTAAACCATATGAGGTGAGAAAAACCTTTCCTTTTTCTTTCAGTTTTATTTATTGTGTTTCGATTTTCGTTGGTGAGTTCATTGATTTAAGATTTTATTTTATTTTGCCGAGTTAAGAAGTAAAGACTGATGAAAAATTACTGAATCCGCAATTAAACGATTGGTATTCCAGAATTCAAAATGTTTGATAGTAATGGCGGAGTGAAGGGAGGGGGCGAAGGCATGTTTTTCGGGCAAAAATCTCATAACTAAGTTAGTTATTCGGGCAACCTCGCCCCTCGAACGTAAACCTGGCTCCGCCAGTGCTTATGATTCGTATATTTAAGCGATACATCTGAGAGGAAATTTAAAAGCACAAACATTCTGTGGTATTCCCCTTTCCATAACTATAAATATCATTTCAGGTCAAATATGGTCAAAGCGATTGGTCGGCTGCAATACAGCCGAGTAAATCTTTAGATTACCAATCAAAGTTCCATAAACCAACGCACTACTTCCGATCGAGTTACAATGATTTCCGGCCAAGTTACTATAATTTCCAACCAAGTAACCTGTTTATAAGAGGCAAAAGATCAGGTATACGTTTTTAATTTAATAGTAAATCCTACGGTAAGAAAAAAAAAATTATGCAATCTGTAATAACACAACATTTGGCTTCTGTTTATAGATTATTTATAGTTAACGTTTTACTATTTTCTTCCGCAATGAAGAATTGAATTCGTTTCAATTTTTCAGTTAATGGTTATCAGTTCACGTCTGGCTACTACCAACCATATACGTATTACTCGCAGTACAGCTCTGACTATTACACGTCTGACTATTACCCACATTACAGCTCTGACTATTACACGCCTGACTATTACCCACAGTACAGCTCTGACTATTACCCACAGTACAGCTCTGACTATTACCCACATTACACGTCTGACTATTACCCACATTACAGCTCTGACTATTACACGTCTGACTATTACCCACAGTACAGCTCTGACTATTACTCACATTACACGTCTGACTATTACCCACAGTACAGCTCTAACTATTACACGTCTGACTATTACCCACATTACACGTCTGACTATTACACGTCTGACTATTACCCACAGTACAGCTCTGACTATTACAGGCCTGTCTATTACCCACAGTACAGCTCTGACTATTACAGGCCTGTCTATTACCCACAGTCTGACTTGCCTCGTCATAGTGACAATCCAAATGATTTCGTTCCAGGTATGTTTATGATTAATTTTCTATTCTTAATTCTCTAGTTTTCGTTGAAATCTTTGAAAGGAGATTTCTAAATTTTCTATATGTATCGGATAGCATCAATTTACACCATTTCAATTTTCAGTCAGACGTCTATGGTTCGTGCAATTCAACAAAAAATCAGTGTTTGATGACGTCATTAATCGCAAAATATACTTTATCACTAATACCCCTTTTACACCAGGCCCCGATAAAGAGAGTCTGGCCCGGATCGGTGCCTTCTCCAATCAAAACGTCTGTTTACACTGGCGTTCTGTGATCTGGGCCAGGCCCACTTTAAACGGAAATAAGCGTGCGCTCTCTAATTAAAAAGATTACAAAAGGTCCACATTTGTAGATTTATAATGGCCACCGATAAGGAAATTGTAAACCCTGCACATGCGCAGAAGAATTTTTAAACGGAGCCAGGCACGCATTCGTTTACACTAGTAAAATTGCGGTGCCAGGCCCCGTTTAAATTGACTCGCTTTATTCCTGGCCCACTATATCGGAGTGTAAAAGGGGCATAAGGCATTTCGTGATTAGTGACGTCATCAAACACTAAGTTTTAGTAGAACAACTGAACCATGCAAAAATTTTTATGCGACGATGTACCGGACAATTATGGGTCAGTGATAAAAAGACACGTTTTCACATACAGATCTCTGGACGTATGTTGTCGGCACCAATGTCCACCAATTTCACATTGCGTGGTATTGATCCCTATTAAATTCTGTAATTTCTCACATTTCACTATAATTACTATATTCTTTAACTTATTTGATGTAATTTGGTATGTGTATACAGAAACACAACATTAAAGATTAAGTTCGAATTTTTCTGAATATTAATTCTGTTATCTGACAAGCGAAACGAAAAGAGGCAGTCATATTGCTCTACTTGGGGTTTCGCTATTTCACAACTCATCATAATCAGCCAGAAACGGGTTCGAGATGACACGCTTTGATTGGTTACTATAACTTTATTAGACCAGTACACCGGTGAAAAACTTGTTAGATCACAAAGGAGACGAAAAATATCAGAAAAAGAAAGGACATTGTAATTTTAATCGCAGAACAATATCATAAAAAACAAAAATTTGTAAAGGAAAGACCATTCTCGTCCAAAATATGGCAAAATCGTGTGTATAAGTTGTATACTTGTTGACCACTCCAAAGAGAAGTATCACCAGGTGTTTCGATAACAGTAAGCATAATATTCCATATATATTTTTTATTATAGATTCTCAAAATAAACAAGCAATTCTTCTCGAGTTGGAAGATATAAAGATAGAAGCTGAAGAAGCAGCCAATGCTGCCAAAGAAACACACGATAGAATGAACGATGGAATAAATATCATTGGATAATGAAAGGCATTAAACCATTTTGTCTCTACACATATTGTTTTTTTTGTGGTTGAGGGCACATTTTATAAAGCTGTGAGTAGACAGTTTACGGTGTCAGATACCGTGTACCCTGCTTGATTGTCGATAAAGTAGAAAAAAGTAGAAAGTGAATCGTGTTCCTTCCATTTTCTACTATATCGACAATCAAGGACCGTACACCGTATTTGACACCGTCCCTCGTCTATACGCGGCTTAAGATTTGCATCTGTTTTTACATTTGACGTATTTGTATATTTTGTGGGTCACAATCAAATTGTGACTGAATCCAATAGATTGTAACTGAATTTTGCAACATGTTGAAAAAATTGCAATTTCGAGCAGTTGAAAAAAATATGACTGATTTTCAACTGCTATGCAAATAAATCAGTGTGCTATTCAGTTATTAACTATATAATTTTATGTTTATTACATGCAAAACATAGTTGAATATATTCTGCTAACTGTTCAATACAGATAATCATTTAATTTCTGATAAAAGCTTTATTATACAATTACAAACTACACAATTTTAAACGGCCAAATTTCCAAGCAGTTGTCGGAATTTCAAGTTTTCATATATTCTAGTGAACAAAGGCACGCGACAAACTAGCGAATTGCATTTCAGATGAAAAAATTCCATGGAACAATATGTGGACCATAGTTTGTTTCAATGAATTTTAGCAATAAATTATTTTTATCTTATTTTGTCACAATTTAAAAAAAAAAATCAGTGTTTTTTGAAGGAATTATAAGTTATAATGAAATATTATTATAGATAAATACTAAGAAAAGTTAATTATACCACTGGGTATCCATACAACGTGTTTTGCTCGACTAATGTTTAGATTAAACATTTTACACGAAAATATGTGACGCATTTTGCAGCCGTTGTGGAGTTGGTTACTCATAAACAATCCGTTTTTTCAATTTTGACGAAATTCGGTATTGAATCTTTATATGCACGAATATAGGTTCCACCACTGTATGATTGTCGATCATTCAGTTTAACATATCCCTAATAGCCGAAATATATTTACATGCATGTTGCATTGTTATTTTGATGATATTACAATTTCAATTAAATTTTCGACGGCGAGTTGCAAATTCGTGACGACTACTTGGCATGAGAGTTTTCATCTAGTTGACGACAACTAAAATATAAAATATGACTGACGATTTCGACTAAATGTGACGAATATTAGGGGTTCAACAAGCCTTCTCACGAAACTTTATCCTTCGTGTGATCAGCTTGCGTATAAATAAATATTACATGGGAGATAACTCATGTGAAGTCATTGATTGCCACACCTATGTCTATCTTCACAATATCATAGTCAAACTACATCATCTATATCTTTATATCCTCCGATCTGCATCAATGTAAAATCCTAAGGTACTTTAATATACTAACAAAATGTAATGGATGATGACAAAATAGATTATAATAATAGTACAATTGAAGAGAAATTCTTTTTGGAAACAAATAGTCAAATAATGAAAAAAGCCAATGGTGAATTTGTCAGAAAAGAAATTAAAGAAATAAAAAAATTAATATACATGTAAATATGGTCATTTCGGCAATCCTCGACAGATTCAGTAAAGCTGTATCTCTTGCATAGCGCTAGCAGAACTTTCACGGTAGACCGTTTGAAATATGACATGATGTTTACGGAAAAGGTTTAAGTTCTACCCAGGCCCCTCGCCCAGGGGGTTACGGCCCGGAAAAAATATATTACATTCAAGTTTCAACAATATTGAATTTTGATCCACTCTCCAGACATGGAGGAGAAAAAACACCAACCACTCCAATATAACTACAGTTCTACGAAGTATTTTCAAGTGTTATGCTATAATTAATGTTTTATATTATTAGTACTATCACTGTCTATATAATTTTAACATTAATTTATATCAATCAATTTATTACATTACTATGTTGTTATAAGTTATAATAGGATATAAATCATTTTGATAAATTATAATGGTTATTAGCATGTACATTGTACAGAGCTCTCACCTCTCACCTCTCGACCTTTTGGCCTGGTGTATGTGGGTGCTGTAGGGCTTTTAACTAAAAGATGCGAGAAACCTATGGAAATTTTGTACTTATAATTATATGATTATGAACCTTGCAGAGGCATATTTAGAAAATGCCTGAGGTGGGGGCCAAAAACTGAGAGGCCAAAGGAGAGAAGCCAACGGATTTTTAGATGGCAAGAGATGAACTGGGCTAAATTTTCACTCCAAAATAAGACATTTGACATATATAATTCAAAATATTCCATTGTCTAGCTCGATTAATGTACAAAAATATTAAATCATCAATTCTAAACAAATCTAGAAAAAATAATCATGATCACATTTTTCGATCAATGTATATGTATGTCACTACCACTGGTACCCTCAAGTTTATCATTTATTGCAGATGAACTATAAGTGGTATTTTTATAATGGAAAGATATGCGGAATTTCAGCTCTATCAACTGGGAATGCGCTTCGTTTCACAATCAAAATACGTTTTTTTCAAAAGTATGCTTAACTTCCTTAATTGCAGATGAACTTGACGCGGGGTTTTCATTTTAGAAAATGACACGGATCGCTTAACTTGAGCTCTCGTACTTGACTACATCTTTCTAATATGCGTTTGATTTGGAACACGCCTCGGATAAGAGTGTCCACATGATGTATCATATGAAATAGGGCTAGCCATATACGAGATAAAAGATTTCTAATTAAATAGCCATATCACTTGACGAATAAACAACGACCACATTTCTAAATGGCCATATCGCTTTAATGCCAGATGTATAGAAAGATAAAATGATAGGGAAGACATGCACTTAGAATAATCTGAGAATTCTCTGATAAATAATAAGTCTGACATTCCAGTCTGAAATATGATCAATCTGTATTCCCTATAGCACTACTACCTGTCTTGATAGTGTCATAATTTTATAAAGAATCACAGAGCTTCATGTCTGAAATTGAAGGTATATATATGATAAGTGTGTTTCTAGAAGTATAGACGATGTATCAATAGATAGTAATGGACTTTTGATGAAGTGGTTGCCTGCTGGACCAGATAATGTCCATATTAGTAGTCTTTTAAATGATCAATGCTATTTCTTTGTAATATTTTTTTAAAAATCACATTCAAAAGACGAAATTTCAGCGACTTTGCCCTGCACTGACAATGACCCAGCGTGCTTCATTACGTATATAGACGATGTATCTTTAGATAGGGATTGACTTTTGATGAAGTGATACTGTGATGGTTGGAAGTTGCCGGGCAAGGTAATATATGCTGAATGGTAGCTTGTAAATTTATCAATACAGTTCTTTAGAACCTTTATGTCACATTGAGCAAAATCTTTGTTGACATACCAAAAGAATTTCACCTCTTACCAAGTTCCTATTATGAAAATCTGTACATTCTCCAAAATAACAAAACTTTGTACATTCAGCAAAGTCCCAAATATAAAATCCTTTTCATTCACCATAAAGTCTGTACAACATTCACAAAAGACTCATTATACAACTCTGTACATTCACCAAAGTCCTATTCAAGTAACCATTATAAAACTCTTCAAGGTCCTTGTGCAGAAACTGTTCACTCTCACTGCAGGGCCTACCTGGAATACCAGCAATACAAACAATCTGAAAAAAAACCTAGAATATTTAGGCGTGTTGCCTTGTCAATATTGATGTTGTTTAAATAAAGTGTTACAATATGTTACTAACTGTTGTTAATGTTTACAAGATGTTTATACTTTATTTAACAAGATCAACAATATTTTAAACATATTGGCTAATGTTTCCATCTAATTTTTCTATCTAATGTTGTATTTGGGAGGTATACTTCAATATTTGATAGTTGTACTTTCTGGGGTTGATTAGGGCCTTGTGTATACGTAAATAGTCTTCAGAAACACCAACACTGTACGAACATCGCAAAATTCAAATTTCAAAATAGCTGTTTCCTTTCACTAGTTTATCCTGTCTGAAGATTAAGGGACCGGAAAAAAAGGTCTATAAAAGGAAATACGGTCTCCGGAAATTTTTTGACTATCCAGTCCTAAACCGTTCTACAAAATAGCGGAGTCTTGAAAAATGCTAGTTGCCAATGTATTTTTCAAAGACGGATGATTATGGACACAAATGGCAAAGAAGGCTAAAATTTCGATGGTAAACTATGAACACTATTACTGATTAGCTTAGCGGAACAATTCCCGTTTTGGGGACCAAGGTACCAATTGACCTACGAAAATGGCGAATCATGACCTTTAACCAATAACTATATTGAAATTAGATTTTAAATGACTTTGATATTTGATTGTATTTTGATTTATCTTTCAATACTATTTACATTAGACAAAGAAAGATGATGACAAGTATGAATTGATTTGTCTTGTTTCATCAATTGAAATCGTACACACACCAGCCTAAATGAAAGAATGTTATTGATGATAATCTTGGAAATGGAATGAATCTGATCACATTCCAACAAATGTTTAATAAGAAAGATCAAACAATTTACTTCCATATAATTAGATAGACTACGGTTACTTCACTGAATTTATATTAAACTGTTAAACACGGTAATTACATAGGTCATATTACAAACACACAATTTACCGTATTTACTAGTATTAACAAGCATTTGGATTTCTATTTCAATATAAGGAACGATCTTAATGCAGCAAATAAGCTTGGTGCTTGCTCCTTGCTCACAAACCTAGAGGCCCTCGTTCCCTGCATGGATTGTGATAAAATACCTTCGAAATTTTGATCGAGGCAGAAAAAAACGGATTGTCGTTGGAATGGGACAATAAACCATTTCTAGTACTTTTGAAGACATATATTCAAGACTCAAATCAACTCCCCCAAAATGGCGCATCTGTCCCTTTATCGAATGCTAAAAATAATTTGTATGGCGAAACTAAATACCGACTTAAGAGATTATCAAATGTATAAATTCTAAAATTAAAGCTAGTCAAATAAATTATGTTT